TTCCACCTGCATCTGTACCTTTTTTGGGACTCAACTCCAATTCAGTCAATTTCACCCTCTCAGAGACTCTTTTTTTTTTTTTTTGTAATTGGAGAAAAATTTCTTTATATCTCAGAGCCTCTTAACACACCCTATTTTGTAAACCCAGCTCAGGGCTCAACTGCAACCTTACTTCTTCATCCAAACACTTTTTGGCCATTCCAGCCTACTGTGATCTCTCCAGAACTCCCTCTCCAAAATTCCTAACACTGTTGGGGGCTGTCAATCCAGAGATCAGTTATGTAAAAGGGCTTAAGAAAGAATAAAGGTTAAAGAATAAATGTAAAACTATACTATCACTTGAATTGACTTTAAACATAAACCAATCCCCTCCCGTCAGCTCTGGGAAAATTCCTAAAGGACCAAAAATGCTTTTCCAACTTCTCTGAATTCTAAAGAGCACAATACTTATTAGCACATTGCTCTTTATAATTCTCAGCCTCACCTAGCCTTCACATTCTTTCCAGCTTAGCTCAAGAGAGCTCTGCTTTTTTACTGAGAAAATCTTGGCCACTTTTATCTTTCTCCAAGGGTCTCTGGAGTCAACTTTGTTCTCTAGTCCTCCACTCCCTCCCCTCCCCTCATTTAACACACCCTTCTTGGCATTAGATTTATTCTCTGAATGCACCTCCTAAGGGGCTGTCCACTAACCCAAAACTTCAAAGTCAGTGGCTCCTACGTTAAAAAAATTCATGAGTTTTTTCTTTACTTTTTCAGGGGTAAAGTTTTATGTAACACTAAACATTATTAATAACCTACAGAAGTTATTAAAGGTAGCTCATCTTTGCTATTTATAAACCAGAGTATTGACTCTTAACTCGTTTTTACACAGGAATTGATTCAGCTTTGTTCTGAGAGGTTGAGTTGTCAACAGCTTTGCAAAGACCCCACAATGCAATCACTCAGATAGCTGGAATTCTTCGGTTTTCCAGATAGAGGGCTTTGTTGAGGGAGTACTGTGGATGCTGACTCAGGTTGGTCCTTAGGTATTAAGTTGGCTTAGTGTTTCCTTTAAATGTCAATCATTATTAATTTAGCTTCATTATTGTCAATTTAGTGTTTTACTTTGCTCATTGTATGTTTTTTTGTGATTCTAGCTTACATCAGTAGGATTTTTAGACCATGATTTTCAAGGAACTAGACTTTAAGATGTGTATGGGTTGAGAGTCTAATAGGAGACGTTTATACTCTCATTGCTAAATCATGTATTTTTATAATTCCCTAGAAATATCCTTGCACTGGCACTTCACTGGTTATGTGTTTCTCATGAATTTGTGCTATTGATATAACTTATAACATGGAATCTAGGTTAAGTGTAGTGAAATAATGGGTTATTTTTAAATGTATAAAGCATTGTTTTATACCACAAAATCCTGTGGGCAAGTTCATATTCTTCTGTTATCAAGTAAATACAAAGTGATTTTATATTACGTATCCAGCAGTATATCCATCTCAATTTGTTTATAAGGAAAAATGTATTAAGGACATCCTTAGTCTACATTGTGGTATCATTTTGTCATGTGATACTGACAATACATTTGTTGTTTTGTTTAAAATATATTGCTGTTTTAGACAAAAAGAGCCAAGACTATTCAATGAGGAAAGAATAGTCTTTTCAAAACGTGGTGCTGGGAAATCTGGATATCCATAATATGTATGAAAACAAAGGAGGACCCTTACGTTACACCACATAATAGAACCAACTCAAACAGATCAAAGACCCAGAATAAGAATTAAAACAGTTAAACACTTAGGAGATATATACAGAAGAGAAGTTTTCACCACATCAGATTTAACAATGATTTCTTAAGATATGACACCAAAGACACAGGTAACAAAAGAAAAAATTGGTAAGTTGGACTTCATCAAATCTGAAAATTTGTGTGCATCAAAGGACACTATCAATAGAGTGAAAAGACAACTCAAGAAATGGGAGAAAATATTTGGAAATCATGTATCTGATAAGGGATTGATACCCAGAATACATAAAGACTTCCTGGAACTCAACAACAAAAATACCAAATAATCCAATTAAAAATGAGCAAAGGACTTGAGTGGATGTTTCCCCAAAGAAGATATATAAATGGTCAAAAAGCAAATAAAAAGATGCTTAATATTACTAATCACTAGGGAAATGCAAATTAAATCTACTATGAGAGACCACCTCATATCCATTTAGCATGACTGCAATAATAAAAAAAAAAGAAAAGAAATATTGGCAAAGATCTGGAGAAATTGAACTGTTGTATTCTGTTGGTGAGAACGTAAGCTGTTGCAGCCACAATGGAAAACTAAAACATAGAATTACCATATGATCCAGCATAGAGGAAGAAAAACTTATTTTTTTCTATCCTCTTAGGCTCTGTTATTGGAGCCTGTGCATTACACTGGCAAAAGACAGATTAACAGAAGGGCATACAAAATTTTTTTTTAAGTTAATATTTTTTATGTGGCCTTTGGTGCTTCATGGAAAAGAAATTAAAACCCCAAAGAAGTGATTAAACTTTGGGGCTTATATTTTATATTTATATCTTATTGGAGGCTTATAATTTTAACAAAGGGCCAAAAATGTGGAGAAATGACTATGAAAAAAAGGAAAAATGGGGTTGGGTTTTTAGGGGTAGTAAATTTTGGGAAAGTGACTAGTGTTAGTCAGTCAGTTATGTCCAACTCTTTGCAACCCCATGGACTGTAGCCCACCAGGTTTCTCCGTCCATGGAATTCTCCTGGTAAGAATACCTGAGTGGGTAGCCATTTCCTTCTCCAGTGGATCTTTCTGACTCTGGGATCGAACCCCTGTCTCCTGCATTGCAGGCAGATTCTTTAGTGTTTGAGCCGCAAAGGAAGCCCTGGGAAATATATGGGGGAAAATAATGGAAGAGAAGCATTACTTCAGTAAGGTTGTTTTGTGCAGCCTTATCTCGGCGTCAATTCCCCATCTCTAGGGACAGTGGATAAGAATCCACCTGCCAATGTAGAGGACACAGGTTTGATCCCTGGTCCAGGAAGATTCCACATCACGTGGAACAACTAAGCCCATGGGCCACAACTACTGAGCCTGTGCTCTAGAGCCCAGGAACTTCTGCAACCTGTGCACCCTGGAGGCTGTACTCTGCAATGAGAAGCCCCTGCACCGGAAGGACGAGTAGCCCCCCGCTTGCCGCAACTAAAGAAAGCCTGTGCAAAGACTCCGCACAGCCAAAAATAAATAAATTATCAAATAAAAAGTCTCCATCTCCAGCATAAAAATGCCCTCTCTTTTCTGGTACCAGGAAGGCAGCTTTCTCCTAGAAGTGAGAGTATGCCAAAGGATGTGTTCATTTTATTTTATTTTTTTATTTTTTATTTTTTTTAGGATGTGTTCATTTTAAATTTTCATAGCCATTGCCAAATTGCTTACTATAGAGGATGCACCATTTTATTTTATTTTATTTTTTCATTTATTTTTATTAGTTGGAGGCTAATTACTTTACATCATTGCAGTGGTTTTTGTCATACATTGACATGAATCAGCCATGGATTTACATGTATTCCCCATCCTGATCCCCCCTCCCACCTCCCTCTCCACCCGATCCCTCTGGGTCTTCCCAGTGCACCAGGCCCGAGCACTTGTCTCATGAGGATGCACCATTTTATACACCTACTGGTAATATAGTCTCTGAAGCTCAGACAGTAAAGAATCTGCCTGCAATGCAGGAGACTGGGGTTCAATTCCTGGGTCAGGAAGATCCCCTGGAGAAAGGAATGGCAACCCACTCCAGTATTCTTGCCGGGAGAATTCCACCAACAGAGGAGCTTGGTGGGCTACAGTCCATGGGGTCGAGAAGAGATGGACATGACTGAGTGACTAACACTTTCACGTGTTCTCACTTACATGTGGAATCTAAAATATGATACAAGTGAATATATCTATGAAACAGAGACCCACAGGCATGGTGAACAGACTTGTGGTTGCCAGCGGGAGGGGGCATGGGGGAGAGAAGGATTGGGAGTGTGGGATTAGCAGATGCAAACTAATATGTGTAGGATGGATAAACAAGATCCTACTGTACGGCATGGGGAGCTATATTCAATATCCTGTGATAAGTCATAATGAAAAAGAATACAACAAATAATATATATATATGTATAAGTGAGTCAATTTGCTGTGAGCCGAAATTAACACAACACTGTAAACCAACTATACTTCAATAAAATTAAAAACAACTCTTTTATGAGGTTATACTGGAGAAGCATGGGCCCTACTCCAGCGTGACTGATGTCCTTATAACAGCAGGAAACACAGAGACAGAGACAGATGCAGAGCAAATATCATATGACAGTGGAGGCAGAGATTGCTGCTGTAAGCTGAGGGCCACCAAGGATTGCCACAAACCCCCAGAAGCTAGGAGAGAGGCACGAAGTCTCCCCTGAGGTTTCAGAGTGAACATAGCCCTGCTGACAGCTTAATTCCAGACTTGAAGCCTCCAGAGCCGTGAGACAAACACTTCTGTTGTCTTTGTTGTCTGTTGTCTTTGTTTTTTTAAATTTCTGTTGACTTCCTCTCTTCCTGTTCTCCTAAAAACTAGCCTGACCCTCCTAAAGATTTTACCTTTTTTCCACTCTGGGAAAATGGACAGAGGTATAAAACAAAGGTATATCTGTAGAGGTTGTTGTTGTTAATTGCTCATTCATGTCCAACTCTTTGCAACCCCATGGACCGCATGGTAGCCCGCTGCCAGGCTCCTCTGTCCATGGGATTCTCCAGGCAAGAACCCTGGAGTGGGTTGCCATTCCCTTCTCCAGGGGATCTTCCCAATCCAGGGATCAAACCCAGGTTTCCGGCATGGCAGGCAGATTCTTTACTGTCTGAGCCACCAGGTAGCCCAGATTTAAAAAGTTGTCTTCTGCTTTTTCCCCTGGAGCTGTGCTGGTTCTGCAGCTCTGTGGCAAGCCGCAGAATCGGGGTTCTGTTCCGCAGGATGGGGTTTGTGAAAGTTGTCAAGAACAAGGCCTACTTCAAGAGATACCAAGTGAAATTCAGAAGAAGGCGAGAGGGCAAAACTGACTACTATGCTCGGAAACGATTGGTAATCCAAGATAAAAATAAGTACAACACGCCTAAATACAGAATGATTGTTCATGTAACGAACAGAGATATCATTTATCAGATTGCTTATGCCCGTATAGAAGGAGATATGATAGTCTGTGCAGCTTATGCTCACGAACTCCCAAAATATGGTGTAAAGGCTGGCCTGACAAATTATGCTGCAGCATATTGTACTGGCCTGCTGCTGGCCGGCAGGCTTCTTAATAGGTTTGGTATGGACAAAATTTATGAAGGCCAAGTCGAAGTGACTGGAGATGAATCAATGTGGAAAGTATTGATGGTCAACCTGGTGCCTTCACCTGTTACTTGGATGCAGGACTTGCCAGAACTACTACCAGGAATAAAGATTTGGGGGCCCTAAAGGGAGCTGTCGATGGAGGCTTGTCTATCCCTCACAGTACCAAATGGTTCCCTGGTTATGATTCAGAAAGCAAGGAATTCAGTGCTGAGGTACACCGAAAGCATATCATGGGACAGAACGTTGCAGATTACACGCATTACCTGATTGAAGAAGATGAAGATGCTTACAAGAAACAATTCTCTCTGTACATAAAGAACAGTGTAACTCCAGACATGATGGAGGAGATGTATAAGAAAGCTCATGCTGCAATATGAGAGAATCCAGTGTATGAGAAGCCTAAGAAAGAAGTTAAAAAAAAGAGGTGGAACAGTCCCAAAATGTCACTTGCCCAGAAGAAAGATTGGGTAGCTCAGAAGAAGGCAAGCTTCCTTAGAGCTCAGGAACGAGGTGCCGAGAGTTAAACCAAATCACAATTTTCTATCAAGATTTTTCAGATAAGACAATAATAAACTTATTGAACAAACAAAAAAGAAAAGTTGTCTTCTCTGACCACCCAGATTTGAGTAGCCATCCAGCTCTCTGACATAATTCCTGTTTTCTCGTTTACTTTGTCTCCCTGACTAGAATATAAACTGCATGACAGCAGGGACCTATTCTTTTTTCTTCACTACTATATCCTGAGGACACACCTGACATATCAAGGCTTTTTATACAATGATTGAAAAAGATTCTTACAGAATTCTAGCTGATTACCAGCTGTGTCCTAGGGCATGTCATGTAATTGTCCCAGCTTCAGTGTTTTCATCTGTAAAATGGGCAGAAATATATATGCCAAGAGTTAGGAGGGAAAAGTGACCAGTGCTATGGGGCTGTGCTGTGCTTAGCCGCTCAGTCGCATCCAACTCTTTGTGGCCCCGTGGACCGAAGCCCACCAGGCTCCTCTGTCCCTGGGGATTCTTCAGGCAAGAATACTGGAGTGGGCTGTCATGCCCTCCTCAGGGGATCCTCCCAACCTAGGGATTGAACCCAGGTCTCCTGCATTGTGGGGGGACTTTGCACACACTTTACCAGTTGAGCTACCAGGGAAGCCCAGGCCAGCTGTGGGGAGGTGGCCTAGTTTTTTGGTTCAGTGGGGGAGGAATCAACCAGACTAAGGGCTCTCCTGGTTCTCCACTAGTCTTGTTTTAGTGCTTCCCCTCAGTCACTAGCAGATCCTGACGCACAGTAGATGGTCAATAAATTTGTTGAATAAATGAATGGAAGGCAAGGATTTTGAGAGATATTTCACAGGTAAAATCTGGTAACAAACTGGATATTGGGGGGAGGAAGAATATCTGAGATGAAAACAAATGTTTTGTTCATATAGGTGGGGCTCCTTTGACCTAGCCTTCATACTTTAAAACTTTTCTCTGGAAGGGCAATTCTAAAGTCTAGAGGCAGTTTTTACCTACCCCAATTTTTCATTTTTATTTTGACTGTGCTGGGCCACATGCGAGATCTTAGTTCCCTAATCAGGAATTGAACCCATGCCTCATACATGGGGAACACAGAGTCCTAACCACTGGATCACCAGGGAAGCCCCCAGTTTTTTTAATTTAAGGGAATAATTAGCTTTTCCAATGCACTCTCCTCTATCAGTATTTCTTTGGAATTAAGACCGAGTCATTTCTTGGTAAGAGGCATCCCAGAGTGAACAGGAAGAGAAAAGGTGAAGTCAGTGGTGGTAAGCCATCCAGAAATAAACAAAGATTTCATGAGGGAAGACAGAGTGTTGGTCAGTCATATTCTTTGAAACTGAGAGTCAGAAAGCCACAGATTCTTCGCCTTCCCCACTTTCAGATTTAAAATATCAACAAATTCAATCTAGGACTTCCACTGATGTGGTCCTGCCTCCAGAATCACTAAGAGCCACATCCTCTCCCCACCCTTGGGGACTGGCCACAGGCATCCACAGCTTTTATACTTGTGAAAAAAAGGAAGTAACACCCCTCCGGTTCTTTTGAACTGGTGGGCCATCCCCTCCTTTTTTGACCCCCCTCCCACTCAGACCCTCAGAAAAGAAAAAGTAGACTTTCAAAGCTGGCAAAATAACAAAGTTCAGTTTTTAAAATGGAAACAAAAACAAACATTTACAGCGCTTTCCCCACTTCTCAGCCTCCTCTAGGCAAAAATTTAATTAAAAAAAAAATTACCCTTTGCCCTCTCCCATTTTTCTTTTTTTTAAAAAAAAATATTTATTTATTTGACTGCACCAGGTCTTCGTTGCAGCACATGAGATCTTGTTCCCTGAGCAGGGCTTAAACTTGGGTCCTCTGTATTAGGAGCTCAGAGTCTTAGCCACCAGGGAAGTTCCCCCATTTTTCAACAAGAAAAAACTCCATACTACTTTTCTCAATTAAATTATATTTATTTATTTTTTTTTTAATTATATTTAAATTAAATTATAGGACTGCCCTGGCTGTCCAATGGTTAAGACTTTGCCTTCCAATTCAGGGGGTGCTTGTTCAATGCCTGGTTGGAGAGCTAAAATCCCACATTCCTCGGGGCCAAAAAATCAAAAGACATAAAACAGAAGCAATATTGTAACAAATTAAATAAAGACTTTAAAAATGGTCCACATCAAAATAAATCTTAAAATTAACTAATTTAATGTATATTTTATATCTACACACAGATATATGATTTTAAATATAGGATATGATTTAGGTCCTTCTTTAAACTTTCTTTAGATAGATTAATAATACCTAGAAAAAATTTAAAGTTTATTTATTCATTCATATTAATTAAAAAGCTTTTAAACTGGTTTTGGTAGAATTTTTAAATAAATTGGAATATAGATCAAATAATAATAATGAAATAAGTAGATTAAAAATAGTTTAAATAAGATACAACCAATTTTGTGTTGATAATTTGAAAAGGTCAATTTTTTCGTTAGCATGGGGCTTCAATTATTTATAATGTTCATGTAATTATCTCAATTATCTCAATTATTTAACTTATATGCAGAGTACATCATGAAAAACGCTGGACTGGAAGAAGCACAAGCTGGAATCAAGGTGGCCAGGAGAAATATCAATAACCTCAGGTATGCAGATGATACCACCCTTATGGCAGAAAGTGAAGAGGAACTAAAAAGCCTCTTGAAGAAAGTGAAAGAGGAGAGTGACAAAGTTGGCTTAAAGCTCAACATTCAGAAAACTAAGATCATGGCATCTGGTCCCATCACTTCATAGCAAATAGATGGGGCAAGAGTGGAAACAGTGTCAGACTTTATTTTTTGGGGCTCCAAAATCACTGCAGGTGGTGATTGCAGCTATGAAATTAAAAGATGCTTACTCCTTGGAAGGAAAGTTATGACCAACCTAGACATCATATTAAAAAGCAGAGACATTACTTTGCCAACAAAGGTCTGTCTAGTTAAGCCTATGGTTTTTCCAGTAGTCATGTATGGATGTGAGCTTTCTATAAAGAAAGCTGAGCACCGAATTGATGTTTTTGAATGTGGTATGGGAGAAGACTCTTGAGAGTCCCTTGGACTGCAAGGAGATCCAACCAGTCCATCCTAAAGGAGATCAGTCCTGGGTGTTCATTGGAAGGACTGATGTTGAAGCTGAAACTCTAATCATTTGGCCACCTGATGCAAAGAACTGACTCATTTGAAAAGACCCTGATACTGGGAAAGATTGAGGGCAGGAGGAGAAGGGGACGACAGAGGATGAGATGGTTGGATGGCATCACCGACTTAATGGACATGAGTTTGGGTAAACTCCGGGAGTTGGTGATGGACAGGGAGGCCTGGAGTGCTGCAATTCATGGGGTCACAAAGAGTCAGACACGACTGAGCAACTGAACTGAACTGAATTATCTCAAAACTTAAATCCTTTCATTTTTTTGTCTTCAGTCAAAAGGATTAAACTAAACTACAAACAAGGTAAAGGTTATAGCATGAAAATAAACATTTAGATTGCCTTTTAAAATAAGTCTTGTCAGCTGCCTCTTGTGAGAGTGAAAGTTGCTTGGTCATGTCCATCTCTTTGTGACCCCATGTAGTCCATGGAATTCTCCAGGCCAGAATATTGGAGTGGATAGCCTTTCCCTTCTCTGGGGGATCCCAACCCAGGCATCGAACCCAGGTCTCCTGCATTGCAGGCAGATTCCTTACCAGCTGAGCTACAAGGGAAGCCCAAGAATACTGGAGTTGGGTAGCCTATGCCTTCTCCAGCAGATCTTCCCAACCCAGGAATCGAACCAGGGTCTCTTGCATTGCAGAAGGATTCTTTACCAACTGAGCTATCAGGGAAGGCCCAGCTTCCTCTTAAAATAACTTTATTCCCATAAAATAGTGTTTTTGAAACCACATCTGGGGTTGAAAAGCATAATTGGGTGGTTAGTTAAAATTTTAAAATCCTGGCTCCAAATTCTTACTTCTGAATTAATTGCTTTCATATTCTCTCACTCAATATTTACATTTAATGCCCATTCTCTCAATGTCTCTGAAACTGCTCCCCCATCATGTACTTGTAATTTCATTTCTCTGTCTCACCAGGTATATAGTCCATTCTCTTCAGAATCTTTTGGCTTAGAAGATCCTGAATGATTCGCTGGAGTATTCCTTCCCTCACTACAAGCGAAAAACACTTCAGAAATGTGTCCCCTCCACTTTCCACCAGTCTGTGGACACCGAGACTGGAGGAGAAGGCAACAGCAGGCTTGGGTACCAGGTGATACAGCAAACAGGAATGAAGGGAGTCTTGGCTTTTGTTGCGTGACATTCACTTTTTGGTGACCTAAAGAGTCGGACACGACTGAAGCAACTTTGAATATTGTCTTTAGGATTACTGGCCAGCCCAGCCAACAGTCCAGAAGTAATGTTTGACCAATTTTTGTGTTAAGTTCCCTCCACCACCTTTAAGTTTCCATTAGATTATATCATTTTTTATATTTTTGCTTCTAAAGATAATTTTGTTAAGCATATTTTTTGGAGTCTATAAGTCTCCTGGTGCACAGACAATTTAATCCAGTTCAAAATAAACCAAATCCAGAGTATCTAAAGATCTACA